CTCCAGGGTTCTTTTGGCTTTTCCAGTTGTCCAAAACTCATAGACGACGACGGACCCAAGGGAGCATGAGCCTGGCTACCTTGTGAAGAAGTCACTGTCCCAGCCCGCTGGCCTGTCCTCACCCCCAGGCTGTTTACTGGGTCACACCTGAGAACAAGCGGTTCTTCCTGCCTTCTAGGCTGAGAGCCCCGTCACAGCCAGTGGAATCCTTCCCTCCCTGGCCCTCGCATTCCTGGTGCCTAACAAGCCCCCCCTAGGATGTGAGCTCCTCCCGCTCAGAGGGGACCCTTCTCTGATGTGTTTTCAGCTAGGACTCAGCCCCCTGCTGCTGGCTGCTGTGTCCCCAGCAACGGCTGCCTGTTGTCCCTGCTTGTCTGGGTGTGGGACAGGGTGGGGCCTGGGATGGGGGACACACCGTACCGCTCTCCCATCCTGCAGACTGTCCCCAGGTCCAGTGTGTGCACCCGTATGTGGCCCAGCAGCCTGATGAGCTGACGCTGGAAGCTGGCAGACATCCTGAACATCCTGGAGAAGACAGAAGACGGTGAGGCTCCCGGGGGACCTCGGCAGCTCGGCCAACCCATGTCCCCTCTAAGCCTGGGTGTAAGACTAGATGGCACAGTGGGCAGGCAGAGCCCAGCATCCTTGCTGGCGCTGGCACTACCCAGGGACAATCCTGCCTGAGCACTGGCACCAGCATCCGTTTGGCCTTTCCTCAGACTTCTGGGCCTTCATTCCCTCCTATGAGCTGCAATGCCTTCCAGCAGGCCTCACGGGTGGTTTCTCTCTGTCCCCAGCCTCACCTATGGCCTCAGCCCTCCCCTAAGAGGGGGCTTGACCCTGATCTCGGCCTGTTTGGCCACAAGCTTCTGGGGACACTTGTGACCACCAGGCCAAGAAGCCCTGTTCCTGTCCCACCCTGTAGGTTGCATGCAGAATTGGCTCCAAATGGAGTTTTTTTCTGTAGCCCCCTGACCAATTGAATCCCTATGTAACCAGTGTGGCTCCCTTTCTTGTTCAGCAGTTTTCCACTTTTGTATATTAACTGTTCCTGATCAAGATCCCAGGAGTAGCTGGGGATGATGGCACATACCTCTAATTCCACCATTCAGGAGGCAGAGGCAGAAGGATCCCTGAAATTTTATGAGTGGCGTGGGCACAGTGTGAGATCCCAGTGTCGTTACAACAGAGACAATCGAAATACCAGAGGAGAACAAAGGCTCCTTCCTGTCCCCTCCTTTGTTCCAGTTCATGATTGGAAAAACCAAGTGATCTCCACAGCATCCCTCTGGGGGTCTCAGGGACCCCCTGCCCTTTCCCCAGCATAATCCAGGGCCTCACACATGGTGGCCTGCAGAAGGCACACCTCGGACCTGGTGGGGGACAGGCTGTTCAGCAGCAAGCCTGGCAAAGACTTCTAGGAGAGGAGAGATAGCAGAGAAAAGAGGGTCGGGGCACTTGGGGACTCAGAGTGTCCCCAGTTTCTAATGGCTACCTCCCAGCAACCACTTGGCCCTCTGGGTGAGAATCTGAGAGAATATGCCCAATAAGATGGTAAGCCCACTGTCCAGGTTTGGTGGTCAGCTGTCTCCTACACTGGCCCCCTGGATGCCTTTTAGGGGTGGCCCTTCAAGTCTCCTGTCCTGGTATGGGCAGCCTTGGAAGGTTCAGAAATAGGCAGCCCCTCAGGGGAGAGCCTGGAGCCTGGTTCTTCACACTCCATGGGCTTCTTAGCACACTGTAGGGGCAATCCAAGCTTAGGTGGGGTGCCAAGCCACTGCCCTTTGGGAAATGCTGAAATCTTGAGTATGGCTCAATCCTTGCTTCCCATACAGAGTGGAACCCTAGCCAGGGAAGGCCCAGCCCTTGCCTCACCTTGACCCTGTTGCCTCCTTTGCAGGGTGGATCTTTGGTGAGCGCCTGCATGACCAGGAGAGAGGCTGGTTCCCAAGTTCCATGACAGAGGAGATCTTGAACCCCCAAGATCCGCTCCCAGAACCTCAAGGAATGTTTTCCGAGTACATAAGATGGAGGACCCTCAGCGCAGTCAGAATAAGGACCGCAGGAAGTTTGGGCAGCCGGAATCGGCAATGAAACCCAAGCTCAGGCACCAGTCTGAAGAGAGGGGTGTGGGCAGGGGGTGGGGGAGCAGGCCCAGCAGAGAACCCTGACAGACACAGAGTCTTAGGGAGGAAAGGTCAGTGCCTTCCCAGGCAACAAAGAGTGGCTTGGGCCTGCACTGTCCCTGCCCACACAGTGGGGGGCACTCTTGTCCTGGCCATTCACATGCGTACACACTGGCCAAAGGCTAAGTATTTAAGCAGTATTACACCACCTCCTCTCCAGCCTCTCAGAGCTAGAAGACAGTGGGCATGCTCCAGCGACCTTCCAGCAACTGGAAGAGGCCCACACAGGGGTTCCTGGCAGGAGGTAACTACTGTCAGGTCCCCTGAACTGCACGTGTCCTTCCCTACTTTGGAAGCCGTTAAGAGTCTACCAGGCACACCAATGGGCCGCCCCTGCCTGAGGGAGCTTGGTGAGCAGTGCTGACTCTGCCCGCCCCTCCCCGTGCCTCTGCCAGCCCCTCTTGCACGGCCAAGCCCTGCCCTCAGCAGGCCTCCCGGAGCTTGGCTGAGGGTTCATGCCTCTGGCTCCTTTCAGGGCTAGATGTCACTTGTATCTCCTGGCCCCTGAAGGAGCCCAGGTGTTTTGCAGAATGAATGAATTGGTCACTGCATCCTTTATGGTCATGGTTTTGAGAAAAGCAAATATCATTTTTGGCTGCATTAAAAGCATCCTGTATAAAATGAGGGGTGGAGGCCTGTTCTTTATCACCCTGATGCACACAGCAGTGAGGCATTTGGTTCTGGGCTGGAGGGGGGGGGGGGGGGGGAGCCGCCTTCTAGGCCAGTCGGAGAAAACCTCTCCCCAAGGAGGAGCTGCCCACACTTCAGAGGGAGCAGCTAACATCAGGTCTCAGAATGGGGATGGATTTGGGCCTCTGCTCATAGAGGGACTCAGGAAAGGGCTCTCAGAGAGAATGGGGGAGTCTTCCTGCTGCAGCGTAAGGACACATTTACAACGCCACAGGGACCCTCAGGTATCAGTAAGCAGTGGCCCTTTAGAGGATCTGACTCCAAGCCTGGGACCCAGACTCCCTACCTGGTCCAGACACTGGCCTCGGATGTTCCTCTGTGCCTTCAGTGGTAGCTGGTTCCCTGAGGCCTGCTGCTCCTACCCAGGCCTGCTCAGCCACCCATACTCATCCCTCTCTATCCCAGAGTGTCCACCCCACTTCTGTCCTGGGGAAGTGTCTGGTGCACTGTGCATCTGCCAGAAGATGTTCTACATCAGAACAGACCTTTTGTTTGTTTTGTTTCTTGAGACCATCTCCCAGTATAGCCCAGATTGGCCTTAAACTCACAGTCCCACCTTGGCCTGCTAAGTACTGGCATTTCAGGCATGTGTCACCATGCCAGACCCAGAACAGGCCCTGAGTTTGAGCCACCGCCAGGCTTTGTAGTATCTTCCCTCATATCACAGACCCTTGAGCATTCCTGGAAGGAGATGACCCCTCGGCACACTGCAACTAGAGGGCTGTAGCTCCTACCCTGGCCTACCAGACCCTCTCATCTCCACTTCACCCCTCCCCCAGTCTATCCTAGAGTGCTCCCCAACTTCTGGGTCAGCTGGAAAAGGAACAGTCCCAGGGAGAACATTTACACAAACCCCAGGTCCCAGGAATGTGTGCATTTGGAGACAGGAAAATTCTGAGCCTTGCTGGGAGGGGTGAAGACACAGGATTGGGGTTCTGAATTAGGATATGGCCCCTCCCGCCTGAGTCAAGGTCAAAAGCCTTTACTACCTCATCCAATGCCGGTCCTCCACCATTTCCCAGTTGGTCTCAAGAAACAGGATGAACCTGGGTCAAGCTCTGCTTCCCTGGCCCCAGTCCCCTCCAGGCCGAAGCACAAGGAGCCAGGAGTTCCGAGGCCCTCAGTCCCCCCTGCAGCCAGTGCTTCCTTAGAGAGTAGACACCAGACACCGGAGCTCCCCGTGCCCTGCGTGCACTCCTGGCACAACACACGCACGTGGCCACGCGTGCACATGTTCCCTTTCCACCCACAGCTCCAGGCACACGGCGCGGCCCAGCAACACGCCCCCGTCTCCGTTCACATGCCGCCAACACCTGCACGCGGGCTCGCACACGCGGGGACACAGAGGGGACAAAGGGGAGCACGGGTTGCAGAGTCGCCGCGGGCGGGCGGGCCTATGCGGCTCCTTTATTGGCTTCAAGAAGCGGAAAACTTTCTCAGCGCGACCACCACGAGTGCCAGCACCACGCAGGTGGCCAGCAGGGCGGCGATCACGATGGCCGCAATGGCGCCGGGTCCGAGCGATCCTGTGGAGGACAGAGGACCCAGTCATCCCCAGTCCAGCCCAAGCCTAGCCCTTCCTGCACTTCTTCCTCCCTTCCCTCCCTCTCATCCTTCTCCCTCCCCTCTCCCTGCCCCGCCCAGGCCCTACCTCCGTCCTGGTCCACACCTGCAGGAGGGGTGTTGTCCTCTGGTCCTGGGGCAGAGGTGGGGAACGGTGGGCCCGAGGCTGCAAGTTCCTGGCTGTAGCTGGTGCTCTCCAAGGGACCTTCACCCGACGGCAATTCAATGGGCTCATTCCACAGGGTGGGACTGGGCTCCTGGGGACCCTCTGCTGTAAAGCCAATGACGGGCATTGGGGCTCAGGTGGTCTGCTGACGGGGATGCCGACCCTCCCCACCAGATCAGCTGAGGGATGCCTTATGTAGAACTCATGCTTAGTTCTACACCAGCTCCCACATTTCACAGGGTGAGGCACCTGGCTGGGAAATGCGCTCCTAAGTTTGGGAGACCATCCACGTGTGACTCAGAACACCCACTGAGCATTAAGGTCACTGGAGGACAGACTGATCCGTGCAGAGAGACAGGGACATTTGCAAAATGGGGATTCCTCTGTCCCTCGGGGCAGACACAGCTCAGTCTTCACCTGGGGCAAAGGCTGAGAGTCCAGGACCTTTGAGGGTGCCACTACTCAAATAAAGACCAGAAGAAGCCCACTCAGGCCACAGCCTCAGATCAGGAGACAACCTTGGACATCTAACAGCCCCTCCCCCAACCCAAGACAAGCACATTTCTGCCTGCAGGAAGGAGGGACCATGAAGGGAAGGTGGGGAGGTTCCCACACTACACCAGCCTCAGTCTGCACATGGGTCCCTGGGTGGCCTTTTTACTAGGAATCCTCTGCCTCTGGGGCGGGGAGTCAGCATGATTTGGGGGTACCCAGGGATCCCAGAGGGAAGGAAGGAGACAGGGAGTGCAGGATGGATGAGAGTCAAGTGATGCTTCCACCTGCTGCAGCTCTACCGTACCCAAACACACATCACTGTAGGGAGCACAGCCCGTGAAGTCCAGAGCACCACACACCCTTGGGCCAACCTCCTCCCCAAGACAGAAGTTCAAGCCCAGGATGGAGATCAGGCTCTAAGATTTCCTCTCAGCCTGCCCTCCTAGTATCTCAGCTGATCCCTGCCGGTGCCCTGATCCCAACTGGGAAGGCAAGTGATCCAGGAACACTCAGTCCCCAAACAGGTCCTCACACAGGCCCGGTGGATATCACTCCTCCATCTCACCAATTCCAGCTGCTTGTGGCATGGGGACCATTTTGTCCCTAATGAGAGACGAGAAAGTCAAAGGCCCGGACTGGGTGGAGACAGCCCCGGGGAGGTGGTCCAGAGCCCTGGGCAGGGTGGTGACGGCTGTGTCTCCTGACAGACCCCCATTAAGAGTGCACCTCTGTTACCAGCGCCGCCACAACCTGCAGGTCCCTAAGTCTCCTCTGAGCCAAGGACTCCATCTTGAGTGCCTTTCTCTCTCTGTGGATAGGCTCCGGATAGCAACTGCTCAGGGGAGGAGCCGAGGGACTCGTGTGTTTCTGCCCACAGTGCCCACCCGGGGCAAACAGAACACACAGCCAAAGCCCGACTCCAGTCAGCCTCAAAATAACCAAGCCCTTCAAAACCATCAAGGTCTGGGAAGGGAGGAGAATTTGTGAGGAAGGATCTGTGGGGATTTGTTCTGGACCAGGACAGGAGAGGGGTCATATGCCCTGTCAGAGACTCTGGGTGAGGCTGGTGAGCACCGTGCCGGGGTCCCCATCCCGGTTTGATACCTCTTTCTGCTTGGGAAAGAGAGTGTCTTTGTTCTTAACTGAGAACTCAGGATGAATGGTGTTGGCATCGTTGGACTGCTTCTGCGTTTGTGGTCAAGGAGCAGTGTGGCCAATGTTGGTAACTGGTAACTAGGTAAAGGCTAGGGTAGGGTGCTGGGGTTTGGTAGAGAAACTGGAATCTTTTCACTATAAGATTTTAGCAGCTCCCTGACTCCCTAGGTTCTACCCTGATACCTCTCACAAACCTGGGCCAAACTTGAGACTCAACTTGTAGGCAGGGACTACTGTCATGTGTCCCGCGGTTTCCCCAGACTAGGACCCTTTTCAGAAAAGACTGGCCAAAGGCCTCCAAAGACTGCTGTTGCCCACTTCAGGAGGCTTCCTTCTCACTGAGATCAGGGCTGGTGCCTGGGCCAGCCTCCTACTACCCGTGAAAAAGCACTCTGTGAAGAGGGCAAAGTGACCTGGTCAGAGAAGGCAGTGTTTATAGCCTAAAAGCCCTGATGAAAGGCTTCAGGCCTCAAGCAGTCTAGCCTCAGGCTCCCAGGGCTGGACAGAGAAAAACTCTGAACATGCCTGCCATGCTCCAAGCCCTGAGGTCTGGGCTTCATAGACTGCCAGTCTGCCCTGAGACTCTTCAGGACACACCCAAAACAGGCAGGCAGGCAGGCCTCTCCCTATCCCATCTCTCCTGGCCAAAGCTCACCTCCAATGCCAGGGAAGCTGCCCAAGGATTCTGAGTCCCAGGCCCAGCCCGCCTAAGTGGTGCCTATTCCCTGGCCAGGGACGGGGCTTGCCTCGACACACCAAAGAAGGAGGTGTTTCTGTGGCCGTAGTCCAGGTCTCATCTTGTTTCTTTACGTATTCCATGTTCTCCAGACTCGGGATAGTAAGAAGGAGCAACAAGCCAGCTCCCTCCAAGTCCCCTGGGCAAGCCAGGAACCATGGTCAGTGTGACAGCAGGTCAGGGGTGGGGATGAGAAGAAGGAGGGTCAGTGCGGGACCCCAGGAGCAGGATGTGGAGGAAGCAGGCTGACTGGCAGCCAGTGAGGACAAGGAAGGGAGGCATAGCAGGGGCCTCCTGAGAAGGTTCTGTCCACCTCGGCCACAGGGAGACCCACCGCAACAGTGAGCAGTGTCCCAGGACCTTCTGCTCTGGCAGAAGGGCATGGCGTCAGTGGCACAAGCTTGGACACCTCAGCCTGTCCCCTCGCCCCACCACCCCAAGCTGCTCTGCCTTTTGGTAAATAAGTTTGTTCAACAGTTAGTCTGACCACAGGCCCTGAGGCCAGGCGCCCATGCTCACAGACGGCCTTTGTGTGGCCATGAAGAGCCTTTTCATCCCCACCCTGGCCTCCTGCCCGCTCAACCTGGCCTGCTCCCCTACCTCAGTGGCTGTGGCCACCGGCTGAGGCAGAGAGGGTGGCAGGCTGGCCTGTGCCTCAACTCAGGAGTGCTCCATCTCCTCTTTCCTGCTACAGGCCTACAGCCCAGGAGAGAGACAGGGGCCATGGACCTTGTACATACTGCTCAGACCTGTGGGTCCAGGGCTGGTTCTGAGAACCTCCTATCTCCCGGTTCCCAGAACAGTCAGAACCCCAAGACA